GGTGTTTGAGAATGAAGCCTAAACTATTTTAAATTCTTCGGTCTGCTTTACTTTAAGAACGCAAAGTTCAACTGTGACCAAAGTGATTGCACATATCTTAGGTGCATGTTTGCCAGGAGGAGGATATCTGTGCAGTGGCAAACCTGGATTTGCTGCAACAAAATGTGTGATGGGAATTTTCCTATGGGCATGTGGAACATCACTTTCCTTGTAGGGCAGGACATATCCCTGCATGTTTTGAAATCCATGTGGGCATGAAAGCCACTGAATTGTGATGAGGTTGGTCTTTCGTTGTAATGCTTCGAAAAGGAATTGAGTGCAGAAACTTGCTCCATGCCAAACTCTGTCCCCACTGGTTCCATGCAAGACTTCAAGGTGTTCAGTAGAAGGTGTGATTTATTGTTGTTCAGTCACAAAGTCATGCCCGACTCTTCATGACCCCATGGACAACATGCCTCCAGGTTCTCTTGTCCTCCATTATCCCCTGGAGTATGCCCAAGCCCACACCCATCTCTCCAGTGACCCCATCCAGCCACCTCAATCTCTGCCGTCCCCTTCTCCTTTTGCCTTCAGTCATTCCTAGCATCAGACTCTTTTCCAATGAGTCCTTCCTTCTCAAGAAGTTGTGATTGGAGAACCTATATATGTATTATTGTTATTTATTTTATTATGTAGGAACCTGCATGGGATCAGAAGCCCTGGGAGTAGAAATTCAGAATCTTTTGCTCCTTCTGTTTCTTTAACCATGGATTGTGTGTCATCTGGAGTGGCAAACTTTTACTATAGTTTACTATACCTTAAAACAAGCCAGCGTTCAGCTGTGGTTTCTAAAGCCAGCTTGTTTAAACTTACCATAATTAAGATTAGCTAATATTCCTGGTTCAGATAATAAGGCAAATTCCCAGCTTTCAGGAAGAAGGGAAGAATCAGAGCACAAGCCCACTGTGGTTTGTCCCTGCTATGACCATCACACTAAACCATGATGATGGTTGTCTTTCTGAATATTTTCTGTGACTGGTATAAGGGTCAGATTAGCTTTTTTGAAAGAGATTTTTTTACTGAGTGTGATTCAGCTGGGGGTATATTGCAGTGAAAGAATTCACAACACTGAGAGCTCATAAAGAGGCACATTGTTTTCTATATCTTGTCAGGGCAGTTTTAGCAAACTAAATGTTTTCTCCTTTCCTCTTTCTTCTCCCCTTGCATGACTATCAGCTTGAAAATTAAAATTATATATATCTCCAATAATTTTTTGGGAAAAGTATCATGCTGGCTATGTCCTTAGAGTTGTAGGCTTACCCATAGAGTTGTGCTTCATCTGAAATACCTTTGTCACTATCAGTGTTGATCAGGGATGGGTAGGTGGAGGAGTGAAACCTTGCATTAGATTTTCTGGAATGGAATTGTTCCAATTTTTGTTAGAGGAAGTCTCCTGCTTTTTAATATTTCGCTGCTGAACTTTATCTAATAAACCTGGATATTGCAGGCTTTATGGAATGCAAGTAATGGATAAGTTCACTATTTTATTTTTCTAAGGCTCTTTAATTGTAATTTTGTCTCACCTTTATTTTTGTATAATCAAAATAACACAACATTCATAAAGCAAACTTATGGCATTACACCCATTAGTATTTCTCTTGCGATAAGATGGCAATGCCTGCGCTTAGCAAACAGTTGAGCTCTTGCCATCCAACATTCATCAGGCTCAGGATTGGGTGACTGGTGGTCCACCAGATGTTTTGGCCTACAACTTCCAGCAACCCTTACCATTGATTATGCTGGCTAGGGCTGATAGAAGTTCTATAACAACATCTGAAGGGCCACAAGGTGCCCTGCCCCCTATCTAGAAACTTATTTTCCAGTACTTTCTAGGCCTGTTACTTGCATCACAACATATGGATGAAATTCTCTTTTTGGTTATTACATGGAATGGGTTTAAGAGAAACACTGCAGTAGTTCCCAGATGCTGTTAAAGTAAAAGAAGTCACAGTCTGGCTCCTCACAACCCAAGTGATGTAAAGTCAAGGCTGCAATATCATTCAACTTTTTAACTGTTGCAACATGGAGGTAATTTGGAGCATGGTCATCACAGCTTTGGTTTACCAAACACTCTTCCAGTCATGTGCCAACTTTGACATGATGACCCTGACTTAGATTAATCCAAAGTTCCCCTAATGTCAGGTAGTAGAACAGGAAAATAAGCCCAAATACGGTTGACATTTGGGCAGAGCAGGGGTGGTGGGCAGAGTGTTCTCAGCTTCCTATATTGTAATTTATGACTTCTGGAATTAACATCCAAATTGGGCTATTCACGAATGTGCTAAAAGGCCTGAAAATAAATAGATCTTTGCCTCTCCTTGAAAAGCTATCAACATAGGCAGCAGCAAAGTTTCCCAAAAAGAGTGTTCACAAGTGAAAACGACCCTCTCTTAAGCCACCAAGCATCTCATGTTGAAAGGCAGGCTCACCTGCAGAAGGACTTCCATCAAAGGCTGCAGTGTCCCAGGAGGCACCAAGCCAGTGTGGCGTAAGGGTTAGGACAGCCTTCCCCAACCTTGTGCTTTCCAGACATGTCTGGACTGCAACACCCAGAATTCCTAGTCAATGGCCTTGCTGGATGGGAATTCTAGGAACTGTAGTCCAAAAGCCTCTGAATGCCACCATGTTGGAGAAAGCTGGGTTAAAATTGGTCTGGTACTTGGGAGATCTGGGTTCTGATCTTCATTCAGCTATGAAGTTCAGTTGGCTTTACACCAGTCACTGACTTGCAGCCTCCTCTACTTCACTGGGCAGTGATTGTCAGGATAAAATGGAGAGAAGAAGAACCTTGTAAGCCGCCATAAACAAAAGGAAGAACAGTGAGGTAAACGGGGCTGGAGCTGGTATTCGTACTTGTGGTGCTGAACTGAGTGATTCTGAATGGATGGAAGTTTCCTTGACTTAGTTCAGCTTTCCAAACCACTGCCCCATCCTGAGGTTTATCTCCCATCACCATTCAGGGCTGGCTGAAGGATATTTTGGTGCCTGTGGCAGAATATATGAAACCTTCCAGCTGATAAATATTGGATACATTCTCCTATACAAGTTCTATGGAAATAACTTGTGGTCATTTTATGCAATTCTTGTTCATTTCATTGAGGCACAAGCAGGACAGTTCTGAAATGGTGCGCATTATTCAAAACGATCCTTATTAAAGGAACCCGAACACGGTTGTCCAATGCACTTGTCCAATCACTTTGTTGCGTACAACTGCATAACAGAACTCATTTGAGCACAAAACCCCATTTATTGATGTCAATTCAGGGTCAAACTAGACAGAAGACACATGACATAATAATATTTAATACAGGATGATTATAGTATTGGCGGGGGGGGCGCGCGGTGGTATGACATTTATTGGCATCCCAGCAGGCAGGAGTTCAACTCTTTCTTTGCCCATTTCATGAAGGTGCCATTTGCACTCCCTGTTAGCATCATGGGAGTCAGTCTCTCCATTTGCAGCAATCCCAGTTGTTACCCAGCCTTTCACATAACGGTATTAGCATTTTTATTAAAAGCCCCTAATTTCAGGCAATATTAAGTGCAAGGTACATTTAACTTTGCATCTGATTTGGGCTTACAGAGGCTCAAGCAAACTTCTAGGGAAAGTACAAACACGCCGTTGATCATAGTCTAAGCTTTTAGGAATGCCACGATGAGTCAGGAGGTGGACTTTCCCGCCAGCTGTTTCTCAAGCAGACAAATATGAGTCCTGCTTCTTGATCATGGGCAATTGCACAGAAATTTTTCAGGTTTTGTTTGGGTGAGGCACTGGAATTTCATGGGAACCTTCATGGCACCATTTCCCCTTTGATCTTTGTGATATTAGACTGCCGTTTGTCATGCCTCTAACTGACCTTAGCTATAGGTCCTGGTATACCAACTTCAAACTTGAGCCATGGTATAACTTGCCAGCCGGAATTATTGTTGGCTTTGTGGAGGTTCCCATGTTGATGATGCAGGTTTTTTAAATGGTGAGTCCTTTTACTACTGTTTTTAGTAGCTTAAAAATTCATCAAAATGCTTTCAAATTAAGAGGTTGCATTCAATGAATGAATGAAGGCAGGTGACTGAATATTATGTAGCTCAGTTAGATGGTTAGTCCTTCTCTATTTTTCTGAAAAGAGAAGCTGGCCAAGTGAAAATGGCTGTGTCCTCTCCCTTCACATTTATTTATTTATTAATTAAAACATTTTTATGCCGCCCCATTCACCGAAGCCTCGGGGCGGCTTACAACAATAAATAAAACCAATAAGTTAAAATATACATATAAAATAATCATAATAATTTAAAACACACATTATAAAATAAGCCGCCCTGGCCAGATAAAATTCAGTGGTATTAACATTTAAAATGTTGCTTAAATAAAAAGGTCTTTGCCTGGCGCCAAAAAACAAATAACGACGGCGCCACCGCTGAGAAAGCCCTCCTCCGAGTAGCCACCCTCCTAATTTCTCTCACGGAGGGCTCCCGGAGAAGGGCCTCTCCTGCCGATCTCAGGGGGCGACTGGGCATATATGGATGCAAGCGCTCCTTCAGGTAACCAGGACCCAAGCCCTAAACGGCTTGGG